TAAAGGTTGCCAGGTGTGGGGGGTTGGCATGCTTGTAGCCTGCTACCTGGGAACTGAGGCTTCAAGGGATTGGTGGAGCCGGAGGGGAGGTTGCAGTGACAAGTACCGGCTTTGCACTATAGCCTGGGTGAACAGAGTAAATCCTGTCTCAAAAAAAAAAAGAAGAGACCAGGGTTACGCATGGTCCAGGGCTTGGTTCCAACGTTCTGGCACTCCAGGGATGCACCACCTCAGCTTCCCAAAACGTGCTGGATAAGACACAAGCACTGGCCAGGCCAAAATGATTCATATTTTGGATCTATTTAGGTAATAAGAATATATTTCAAAATTCATCTCACGTTTCTTTACTGAGGCTATGGGAGAAGGTTGTACTTAATTGTCTATCCATTCTATTCAGTTGGGGAAGTTGCTCTGTGTTTCCCATTTTTGATTCTCCTGCCTGAGTAGCTGGGATTACAGGCATTCATCACCACGCCCGGCTAATTTTGTATTTTTAATAGAGACAGGGTTTCTCCGTGTTGGTCAGGCTGGTTTCGAACTCCCAACCTCAGGTGATCCGCCCACCTCGGCCTCCCAAAGTGCTGGGATTACAGGCGTGAACCACTGTACCCGGCCCCACCTCCTAGGTTTAAGTGATCCTCCCACCTCAGACCCCAGTAGCTGGGACTACAGGCACAAAACACGGCGCCCAGTTAATTTTTGTGGGTTTTTTTGTTTGTTTGTTTCTGTTTCTGTTTTGTTTTATTTTGTTTTTGTAGAGACACTTTTTCATCTTCATGTTCTCGAGGCTTCTACACGTCCCAAAATAAACACATTGGCTTCTTGTCTCCCCTTTGGCTCCTCCGCTTATTTTGGATTTTGTTTTTTGTTTGTTTATTTTGAGATGGAGTCTCATTCTGTCGCCCAGGTTGGAGTGCACTGGCACCATCTCGGCTCACTGCAGCCTCCTCCCAGGTTCAAGCGATTCTCCTGCCTCAGTCTCCCGGGTAGCTGAGATTGCAGGCGCGCGCCACCAGGCCCGGCTAATTTTTTTGTATTTTTAGTAGAGACGAGCTTCCACCATGTTGCCCAGGCTGGTCTCGAACTCCTGAGCACAGGCAATCTGTCCGCCTCAGCCTCCCAAAGTGCTAGGATTACAGGAGTGAGCCACCGCGCCCGGCCTCTCTTCACTTTGTACACCTCAGTACTATGAGATTTTTTAAACTGTGATTACTTTTATTCGTTTACTTTGCATTCAGGCAAGGACTCCAGGATCCTGATCACCTCCCGTAAGAGCCGGAGGGTGGGGAGGCCGGCATGGCCAACAGCGCTAGGGGTCCTGGCGGGGGGTCTGAACTAGGCGTGAGGTCTGGAGGCCCCTCGGCTCCTGTGTCCTTCTGCTCTTAGGCGCTCTTAGGCGGCCCAGCCGGCCACCGGGCCTGGAGTGCAGGGCTTATGGGAGGGACTCTGTACAGCGAGGGGGCGCTTCCACCCCACCCAGCGCAGCCCGGGTGCAGCCCGAGGTCCCAGCTGGGTAGGGGTCGGGGGCCCTTGGCTGACTGGGTCCTGTCACGGCCCCTTCCAGCTCCACAGACAGCGGCTTTTTCTTTCTTAGGAAATCTGCAGAGTACAGAGAGTCCTTCCAGGGCAAGAGCTTAGTCTATATCGGAAGAGCCTAGTAACGAGAAGAACTCTTGCCAAGGAAAATGGGATTGAGAAATGCTGCATGTGGGAAACTTGAGCCTGTCCTTGCATTTATCCCATGTGATCCTGGATAAAACGCACTCTCCCTCCTCCACAGCATGTTGAATGTGTCCTCTTCCTCTCCAGTTGGGTTCTACTTGGTCCTTAGGAATGCCTGCCTTGCCCTCTGTCTACTTCGATCTGAGCTCGATTTCTGTTGTTTAAAATGGCGGTTTCTCCAATACACCTCAACATCTTGCAAACGGGGATTTTTGCTAGGATACTGAAGGCCAGAATTTCAGTGCAGGTTTGAACCAACAGTTGGAAAGTTAAACTTTGAAGACTTGAGTTATTTCAACAAATTATTTGGAGAAAAAGTTTATTTATTTATTTATTTATTTTTGAGACAATGTCTCACTCTGTTGTCCAGGTTGAGTACAGTGTGGTGATCTCAGCTCACTGCGGCTTTGGCCTCCCTGGTTCAAGCGATCCTCCCACCTCAGTCTTCCAAGTAGCTGAGACCACAGGCACGCACCACCATGCATGACTAATTTTTTAGTTTTTATAGAGATGGGGCTTTCCCTAAGTTGCCCAGGTTGGTCTAGAACTCCTAGCCTCAAGCAATCCTCCAGCCTCGGCCTCCCAAAGTGCTGGGATTACAGGTGTGAGCCACCACACCCGGCCCTGGAGAAAATTTTTATAACCAAATGTTAAAGGTCACTTCTGCTGTAGGTCTGGGTTGCAGCAAGTGTCCTAGAGGACATCTGGCCATTGCATGGGCTCTGCTTGCCACCCATCCCTACTTGCATTTCTCAATAATGATTTTTTAGGAAGGAGGAACACTTACAAGCATATGCATTGGTTTTACCCAAAATTAATGTCAATGTTTATCACATTATAATGTTAGCAACAAGGCTGGTGAGTATATAGGTTGGTTCGACCTCAATGGGATGCCATTTGGCAATACCTTATCAATTGGAAATTTACAGATCCTTTGACTCAGCAATTCTACATTTGAAATTTAATGCTATAGTTATACTCCCCCTTGTAAGAAATGACGTGTAGGGTACTGATTCCAATAGCAGTACCAGCACAAGTAAAGATAGCATACAAGGTAAATATTCCTGAAGATCGGGAAAAAACACATATTAAAGAAATAAGGCTGGTTTCTGTGGCCCATGCCTGTAATCCCAACACTTTGGGAGGCTGAGGTGGGAGAATCGCTTGAGCCCAGGAGTTCGAGACCAGCCTGGGCATACAGTGGCCATGTTGCAGGCACTGAGACATGGTGAAGCCCGTCTCTATTAAAAATACAAAAATTAGCTGGGCGTGGTGGCAGGTGCCTGTAATCCCAGCTACTCGGGAGGCTGAGGCACGAGAATCACTTGAACCCAGGAGGTAGAGGTTGCAGTGAGCCAAGATCACACCACTGTACTCCAGCCTGTCGACGGAGCAAGACTCCATCTCAAAAAAAAAAAAAAAAAAACCAAAAAAAAACCAAAAAAAAAAAAAAAACAAAAAGACTAGCCTGTCCTAAAAAAAAATTAAAATGAATTAGTTGTGGTGGCACATGCCGGTGATCTTAGCTACTTAGGAAGCTGAGGTGGGAGGATCACTTGAGCCCAGAAGTTGGAGGCTGCCGTGAACTATGATGGGTTACTGCACTCTAGCCTGGGTGACGGGTGACGGAGTGAGACGCTGTCTCATCAAAAATAAATAAACAAATAAATCCATTATTAATATCTAGAAAAACAAAACTTTGTCAAGGAAAGAAATCATAGTAAAGTATATACAGCTATGAATAGTTTACAAAGTCCTAATAGTGCAAACATTGAATATTGATCTAACAAAATCATATCTCTGTTTTAAGAGGATCTAGGTCTGATGCATGTAGTTAAGTCCCAGCTTACTTGGGTTGGAAGAGGGTGAAAGACAGTGGTAGATATATAAATCCTAGCCTCCCAAAGTGCTAGTATTACAGGCGTGAACCACCATGCCCCGTCGTTTTTTTGTTGTTTTTTGTTTTTTGTTTGTTTGTTTTGTTTTTGTTTTTGTTTTGGGGGGGTTTGTTTTTTGAGAGGGAGTCTCGCCCTGTCGCCCAGGATGGAGTGCAATGGTGCAATATTGGCTCACCGCAACCTCCGCCTCCCGGGTTCAAGCGATTCTCCTGCCTCAGCCTCCCGAGTAGCCGGAATTACAGGCCCCTGCCATCACGCCTGGCTAATTTTTGTATTTTTAGTAGAGACGGGGTTTCACCGTGTTAGCCAGGATGGTCTCGATCTCCTCGCCTCGTGATCCACCCGCCTCGGCCTCCCAAAGTGCTGGGATTACAGGCTTGAGCCACTGCGCCCGGCAGGCCAGGCTAGTCTTGAACTCCTGGCCTCAGGTGATGTGCCCACCTTGGCCTCCCAAATTGCTGGGATTACATGCGTGAACCACTACGCCTGGCCTGTTTTTTGACTTTTTAATAAAAGCCATTGTGACTGGCGTATGATGATATATCGGTGTGATTTTAATTTGCATTCCTCTTCTGATTAGTGATACTGAGCATTTTTCATGTGTTTATTGGCTGCCTGTATTTCTTCATTGGAGAAACATCTCTTCATGTTCCTTGTCCAGTTTTGTTTGTTTGTTTCTTTGTTTTGTGGAGACAAGAGTCTCACTCTATCCCGCAGACTGGAATACAGGCTCATTGCAACCTCTGCCTCCCACGTTCAAGCGATTCTCATGCCTCAGCTTTCCGAGTAGCTGGGATTACAGGCGCCCGTCAGCACGCCCGGCTAATTTTTGTATTTTTAGTAGAGACAGGATTTCGCCATGTTGGCCGGGCTGCTCTAGAACTGCTGGCGTGAGCCACCGCATCCGGCTTTGCCCAGTTTTTAATGGGGTTGTTTTTTCTTGTTGTTTTGCAAAGTACTTTAATTGTCTCAATTAGCAAGTAAGAATTTCCCAACTACTAAATCATTCCTATATATTAAATATATTCAGCCGGCTGGGCGCGGCCTGAATATATACATTTGGTCTATTAATGTGGCAAACCTGAAGTTCTCTTTAGTGTTTCAATACTGAATAAAAATAAATTATAAATTATTATTTATCTTATAGCAACACATTTAAAAGTTATTATTTTCACACTTTTTTTTTTTAATAGAGGTGGAGTTTCACCGTGTTAGCCAGGATGGTCTCCATCTCCTGACCTCATGATCCACCCGCCTCAGCCTCCCAAGGTGCCAGGATTACAGGCGTGAGCCGCCGCACCTGGCTCAATTATTATTATTTTTTGAGACAGGGTCTCACTCTGTCACCCCACGGGGAGTGCAGAGGCACCATCACTGCTTACTGTAGCCTCAGCCTCTCTGGGATCAGGTGATTGTCCCACCTCAGCCTTCCGAGTAGCTGGGACTACAGGGGTGTGCAACTTCTCCCAGCTAATTTTTGTATTTTTTTTGTAGCGATAGGGTTTTATCATTTTGCCCAGGCCAGAAGGATTGCTTGAGACTAGCTTGGGCAACATAATGAACCCTTGTCAGAAAGGGAAGGGGAAAAGAAAGGAAAGGAAAAGGGAAAGGAGAAAGGAAAGGAAGAGGGAAAGGAAAAAGGAAAGGAAGGATGAGACAAATATAATTGTGTTATTTAGAGAACAGAGGCATCACTGGGCATGGTGTCAGAGGCTTGTAGTCCCTGCTACTGGGGCAGCTGAAGAGGGAGGATCTCTTGAGCCCAGGAGTTGGAGGCTGCAGTGAGCTATAATCACACCACTGCCCTCTAGCCTGGGTGACAGAGACCCTGTCTCAAATTTAAAAAATTAAAAATAAAAAAGAACAGAGATGTCAAAAATTTTCAAGGAATCTCCTCTGGTGTCCAAACCACGAGAACCATCTGTGGTTAGGTGTGTTCATTGCTGTATTAATTAAAAGCGCGTTATAGTCCCACCACTGGGGAGGCTAAAGAGGGAGGATTTTTTTCAGCCCTGGAGTTCGAAGCCAACCTGGGCAACATAGCCAGACCCCATAACTTTTTTTCTATCCCCCCCCTTTTTTTTACTATGCAAATCTCACTTCACAGACCCTATAGCAAAACAAAACAAAACAAAACAAAACAAAAAGGCGGGCGCTTATTCTGCTCTGTACTCAGCTGTCTCAGGCAAGTGACAGAATAATCTGAAAACCTGGTGCCAGAGGGAGAAAACGTAGTGGCCAGGGATCAGAAGCGAGTGAGGGATCTATGAAGTATTCATTCTGCAAGTATCAGTTCCTTCCTCTGGGAGAGATACTGGGCTTGTCCACGCCTTCCTGAGTCCATGGTTAAGACTCCCGCTGGGCACCAGCGGATTCCTGGTGCCCAGAGCCCGGTTCCTCTCACCGGGTGCGCTGGGGAAAGCGCTGCTCCTGACAGAAGGGACACTGAGAGCAACTCAGGAACCGGTGCACTTGCGCTGCCTCGGAAAAAGCCGGGGCTCCTGGAGGCGGAGGCGAGGCCTGGGACCCAATGAGAAGGGCGCGGTTGGAGAGGAGGGGCTGGCCAAAAGCCCTTTAAATAAGGCCCAGGCGGAACCGCAGTTCTAGTCGCCTAGCTCCAGCTTGGCCTTTGGGTTTGCTGTGGTGGTCTTGTCTCCTGCAGGACCGGGCGCAGCATGGACACTCCCAGGCGGTTTCCGACGCTCGTGCAACTGATGCAGCCAAAAGCAATGCCAGTCGAGGTGCTTGGTCACCTTCCTAAGCGGTTCTCCTGGTTCCACTCTGAGTTCCTGAAGAATCCGAAGGTAGTTCGCCTTGAGGTTTGGCTGGTGGAAAAGATCTTCGGTGAGTGGAGCAAGGAGGGGCAGCCCCTATGCGGCTTCTTTCTGCCGCCCACACCCACATCCCACTGCGTTCCAGGGCAAGCCTCCCCGGTAGCCAATGCCCTCTGGCTGTCTCCTCCTTCCACTTTCCCCTCCCAAGACCCCCGGGAGCCACCCAACCCTCACAGCCTCTCTGCTACCCGCGCAGGCAGGGACCGAGAACGCATCCCGCACGTCCAGGGTATGTCCCAAATCTTGATTCATGTGAATCGGTTGGACCCTAACGGCGAGGCTGAGATCTTGGTATTTGGGAGGCCTTCTTACCAGGAGGACACAATCAAGATGATCATGAACTTGGCTGACTATCACCGACAGCTCCAGGCGAAAGGTACGGGGCTGGTAATGGGGCTACCTGGAGCAAACCCTGGCTCCGTAGGAGTGATCCTGGGGTTTCCTGGCTGCTGGGGCTGCAGTCTCGCCCTCCCAGTCTGCCCCCGGTTAGTGGGTGGGAGAGGGGGCGGTTGCCATGGAACCAGAAGGCCAAAGTGAACCCGCGTTCTGGGATTCCTGGCTCCTACTCCCGCAGGCCGCTTGGGTGACTGTCCTTTTTTGGAGAGGATATAGGGACACAGCTGTGGCCTCCGCACACTGCTCTTCTTCCAGGCTCAGGAAAGGCCCTCGCCCAGGATGTCGCCACTAAGAAGGCCGAGACCCAGCTGTCTTCAACAGAAGTCCGGGAGGCCGGGACCCAGCGTTCGGTGGAGGTCCGGGAGGCCGGGACCCAGCGTTCGGTGGAGGTCCGGGAGGTCGGGACACAGGGTTCTCCGGAGGAGGTGCGGGAGACCGGGACCCAGCAGTCTCTCGAGGCTGCCAACCAGTCGGGGACCCAGCGATCCCCCGAAGCTGCCAGCAAGGCAGTGACCCAGCGGTTTCGCGAGGATGACCGGGCCCCAGTTACCAGATTATGAAGGCTTCTCGGGCCCTGGAGCCAGAGCCAGTCAGGGGTTAAAGTGAAAGCCCGTGCTTCGCCCAGAAGCTGCGGTTGGGAGGAGGATGATGTAGATTTTTTGTTTTACCCCTTCTGTTGAATGGTTGCAAACACAAACTTGAGTTCTAATAAAGAATTGCAAACTGGAAGCCGCCCCCTACTTCAGCCCCCGAAGCTGGGGTAAGGGTGGATGATGTGGATTGTTGTTGTTGTTGTTGTTTTTTTTTTACCCATTCTGTTGAATGGCTGCAAACACAAACCTGAGTTCTAATAAATAATTGCAAAGTGGAAGTCCCCCTCTACTTTAGTCCAGGAAGCCGGGGTGGCGGGGGAGGTTGACGTGGATTGTTTTTGTTTTACACCTTCTGTTGAGTGGTTGTCAACACAAACTTGAATTCTAATAAACAATTGCATTTCCCTGACGTCTGTATTTTGGAAGGTAGAGGGGAGGGAAAGGCGTATTCTTCCAACAGCCCAGTTCTGCCCTGCGCCGCTCTCTACCTCGAGACAGGTAGGGCTTCTGGCTCCTAGCCGCCCGGGGTCGCAATCTTCCCTGGCTGTGGTCCGCTGTGCCCCTTGTACTCCTTAACCGCGCGCATCTGGCTTTAACAGGTGAGAAGCCTCTCTGGCCCACTAGGAAACCTCTCCAAGCCCGCTGTGGTTCTACTCAAGGTGACTTGGGATGAGAAAACCGGGTCGCTTGGGGACCAGCTGGATTTGGAAGGCCCTGGGTGTATGGCGACGCTGCCACAGAACACCTTCTCCGCTGGGGAAAATTACCTCGGGGAAGGGGGAAACCAAGAGAGCCGAGCTGCACTCTCCGGCTGCACTGTTGCCGTCTTCAGGTCTTGCTTGGGTCACCCACCTTCCAGGAAGGTCTTGGACACCAGCAAGATACAGGCACCGGCTACTCTTTCCTCAGTTACTACGGCAGCGAGGAGCCTGAGCAGAGAACACTTTGGCTTCCCTCGGGTCACAGCTGTGGTCAGGGCACTGGGATGCAGGTCCCTGAGCCTGCGAATTAATCTAGAAGGATGCAAGCCAACAGCTGGGTGCTAGGATTAAACAATAGCATGCAGTAATTCTGTAATTAGGATTTAATTAGGATTTTTTTTTTTTTAACCAAGAATCACTGATAATTTTCATTTTATTTTGGAGATGGAGTCTCGTCTGTCCCCCAGGCTGGAGTGCAGTGGCCCCATCTCACCTCAACACAACCTCTGCCTCCCGGTTTCAAACAATTCTCCTGCCTCAGCCTCCCCAGTTGCTGGGACTACAGGCCCGCGCCACCACGCCCAGCTAATTTTTGCGTTTTTGGTACAGAAGGGGCTTCACCATGTTGGCCAGACTGGTCTGACCTCAGGTTATCCGTCCGCGGCCTGGGCCTCCCAAAGTGCTGGGATTACAGGCGTGAGCCACCACGCCCAGCCAATCACTAGTAATTTTTAAAAGTTCAAAGCTAACTTTAAATATCAGGGGAATGTCTATCACAAACTTTTTGTCACCACTAATTATCACTCGACTTTAAAATAATCATGTACCTTACAATAAGGGAATTACCACATAAAGCTGAATTTACAGAAACTTATTAGCAACTTTTAACCGGTAATCATTTTATTAAAATAGTTGACTAATTTTAGAAGAACTTTAGAACATTTTAAATTCAAAATCAACACAAAATCAGTTTCAAATGAGGATACATCACAGAACTAAAACTCAATGTGTATGTTGTTTTTCTCTGTGTAATACCCACCTTACCAGAATGTTGGATTCTCTCCTTTACAAGCTGTTTTCATTGTCCTTGACCAAATTCAGTGTTAACCAATCTATGTTCATGTGTAACTTTTCTACTTTTTCTGCTGTCTACCTCCTATTTTAATTAAGTAGCTTTGTAGACTGTTTTAACATTTAAGAGGGCAAGTCTACTTTTTTTTTTTTGAGACAGAGTCTCGCTCTGTCACCTAGGCTGAAATGCAATGGCATTCCACTGCAATCTTCACCTCCGGGGTCTAAGCAATTTTACTGCCTCAGCCTCCCAAGCAGCTGGAATTACAGGCGCCCACCACCACGCCTGGCTGATTTTTGTATTTTTAGTAGAGACAGGGTTTCACCATGTTGGCCAGGCTGGTCTTGAACTCCTGACCTCAGGTGATCCACCTACCTCAGCCTCCCAAAGTGCTGGGAATACAGGCCTGAGCCACCGTGTCCGGCCCTCACAACCTTTTCAACTCATCCAAAACATCTATGAACATCTTTCCTGGAACTGACACTTTAAGTTTCACCTATTCATATGGCTGCTTCTTTCTCTAAACACCCCAATAAATGGAAACTCTATATCATGCTGGAATTATAGATGTCATCAAGCCAAGCCAGCTGCTTGGCATGGAGGAACAGGAGAGGTTGCCACACTGGAGGCTGAGGCAGAATTGCTTGAACCTGGGAGATGGAGGTTGCAGTGAGCCGAGATTGTGCCACTGCACTCCAGCCTGGGCGACAATGTGAGACTCCATCTCAAAAAGTAAAATAAAATAAAATAAAAATAAATAAATAAAAATAAAAATCCCACCAGGGCCAGGTGCAGTGGCTCATGCCTCTAATCCCAGCACTTTTGGAGGCCAAGGTGGGAGAATCACCTGAGGTCAGGAGTTTGAGACTACCCTTGCCAACATGGTGAAACCCCGTCTCTACTAAAAATACGAAAATTAGCTAGGTGTGGTGGCACATGCCAGTAATCCCAGCTACTTGGGAGGCTGAGCCAGAAGAATTGCTTAAATCAGGGAGGCAGAGGTTGTAGTGAGCTGAGATCACACCACTGCACTCCAGCCTGGATGACAGAGCAAGACTCCATCTCTAAATAAATAAATAAATAAATAAACAAACATACATTAAAAATCACACCAGGAAAAACTTGAAAGAATTAATCAAATTTCTATGGGAGAAAATTAGGAGCTCTTAAACTTAAAAGGGTGGGGATATGGGAGAACACATAGGAAACAGTAATTGATTTAACTACATAAAATAAAAATCTTTCACATGCAAAAAAAAAATGTAAGAGGGTGGAAAATGCTGGTAATAACAGACCATTGTTACAAAAGCTTATAGAGATAAATAAAAATCCTTATCTTCACCAGTTGAAAGAAGTCAAGAAAGGAATGAATAAAGAAAAATGTAAAACTGAAACAAAGACAACATTCAACATCACCTCTAATCAAAAATGTACAATTAAAGAGACTTGAGTTTAAAACGCTTGCAAAAGGCTAGAACACTTTATTGCCAAGGAATGCATAAATTCCATGAGTCTCAAACCAATCCTAATTGCGCTTGAAGCCACAGGGCTTTTGACACCTTTCACCCCAAAAATTCTACTTCCAGAAAGTGGGGCAGCAAGGATAGGAGCTGTTTTGCAGAGATTGGTAATCTCAGTACAACACGTAATGGAAAAACAATCTTGCCCATGCCGGACACCTGTGCAGCCTCGCCTTGCAGAAAAACGGAGACAGCCAGCTCCAAGGCAGGGCGCCATCCACAAGCCAAGGTGCCAGGGATCCCTTTTCTTCCGTGGTGAATCGCAAAGCTACCATTAATGAATGCTGACCGCCCAGGCCTGCTTGTTGGAATGTCATCCTGTGCCAGACGGACACCCCACTCCAGGAAAACGCACAGCTGGTGCTCTTTGGCTGGTCAATTACCAGCTGCAAAGTGAGAGCCTCAGATAAGCTGCTTTGGTAGTACCTGTGAGCTCATCAGAAATGCAAATTACAAGCCCCACCCCAACAGTACTGAATCAGAATTCTCTGGAGAATGAGCCTAGGAAATTGTGTTTTAACAAGCTTCCAAGGTGATTTTTTACAAGCTTTAAAGTTTGAGAGTCAATTATGTAAAAACAAAACAGATCACCATTTGTGAGGTTATCCGCCCCTGCATATCTGCCCCCTGTGGGTGAGGGCCTCATTCTGACCATAAAATCATAGAAGGATTAGGAGTTTCAAAATGATGGGAATTCAGGAAGAAAAAAACAAAACAAAAAAACAAAACAAAAACAAAAAAACAAAAACAAAAACCTACAAAACTACAACCTGACAGCCTTCTGCCCACCCTTCATATCAAAACATAAGTAAGAGTCAATCTTTTATAAATTTGCTTTATTATAAGTGTATGAAGATCTTAATGCCATTGGCAAAATAGCCATTTCTTTATTAGAATAGTTCAAGCTCACTCTTGCAACAAAATAAACCACATTCCATCAAGACACAGGAAAAAGGAATGCAGGGATTTAGGAATGCTATACTTGCTTCTCTTCAACTTTAGCAGAAAAAGTTGGAAAGTTCTTAAGATGTTCCCGACAGTAACTATGTTGTCTTAAGCAACAGGATCCTGGGGAGAGTGGGGGTCTGATGCATGGGCCTTCAAGTTCTTCTCAAGGTGTTTCATCTTCTCAGCTGGAAGAGAAGCAGTTGATGCTAACCATGGACAGGGAAAACGGTTCGCTGTTTCGAACTACTCCGTGATTGGGAGTTGGGGAGGAGAGAAAGACCTGCGGTGGAGGCTCCGAACCTGGGATCTGCGATAGCGTCGTAACCCAGCTGAGGCTGACTTGGGCAGTGATGGGCCTGAATGTATCAGATCTCCGCTGACTTTCCCAAGGTCCTACCCCGGGATCCCCTCCCAACAAACTTTGTGCAGCCCCTGGGGTCTGGAAACCAAGAAATTCTGAGAAGGTTAAGGGAGGATGGAAGGAAACCGAGCAAGGCCACTACAGTCACTCGTGGCTTCCTCCACATGCAGGTTCTCAAAGACCCTCACCTCGGGCACGATGTTCTCGGTGAAACGATGCCAGGCACAGGAGCATGCTCTTCACCCGATTCTGTACACTGGGCCGTCCAAAAACGGTGATTTCGACTAGGTTCCCAGAGTCCACTATGTCCACTGTCATCAGGGCCTGGCTCGTCCATTCCATTTCTGGAATCATGGCTCGGTCCGGGCCTAAACAAGTAAGGAAAGACTCTGAGGGGCCGCACGGTGGCAAGTTACAAGCTGAATTTTAAGGGAATGTTGGCCAGGGAAGGGAAGAGCTGGAAGGTGGGCAATCACTGCAACACTTTTGGCTTGCGAATCTGGGAAAGAAGCTGTAGAGAGCTCCTCTGCCGAGTTTCTCTCAGACTGGAGGTGGACAGCCCACTAGCACACCTAGGGTCGCTCACCAAAGAGCTCGTCTGCCAGCCATGCCTCCAGGTAGAACACCAAAGGGTCTCTCAGTTCCTGCACCGGAAACCACCAAGGCCGGATGCGAATCTGCGGCGGCGGAAGTGGTAACATACGCAGCTGCTCCAGGGAGTCGGCCGGGGTCTGTTTGCCCCGCTGGGACTCAGCAGCACCAGCGTCATCGACCATACTGGGACCAGCAGCCGCGGAGCGCG